TGTATGTAAAGGAGTATACTCACAGAGGTCGTGATAGGGAAAGAGAGGTTACTGGATTGTACGGTGGAGACGGTCGTAAGTGTTGATTTGCGCCAGTTTACCGATGTGTAAGGAGTGCAAATCGATTTCCGCTCGATTATTCACAAGCACAACTACTAGAAACCATCAGGAGTATATTCAGATTATTTGTTTACGTGTAACATACTATGAATGTGTAAAGTCCTATTCGAGGGGTGATAATTGCGGTGCAAATAGCTAAATAAACCTTTCATATTATTCAGAACATCCGGTATTTTATGATGTAATGTCAGCGTACCGACGATAAGTGGTAGCGATTGATTTCCGCGTTGTGTACTGTTACACCTACCACTAATCAATAGGTTAATAAGTTACAATCGTTGTCGACATAAGTATACTGTGTATTTCGAAAACCTGTAAGTGCTCACCCCATAAGTGACTACAGTAAATACATCATCTCATTGTATAGTTGTTAGAGAATTCGAACACAAATGGTCATGGGATAAATTCGTAAATTGGTTTTTGTGTAATGGGGTAAAGACCAATATCTCCCGACGACATGTAACAGTATGTTACCCCGAGATTTCCCTAGGAAAGGGTGTGATGAAGAGAAATAGTGAATGTATCAGTACCAAAAAAAGGGGGTACCGTACAGTGTTAATACACTGTCCGTGATTTCTGGGGTAAATATTCGTTGTGTAGATGCTTTACGGGCGTTGCTCGCTCATGCTGATAGTTTTCAAAAGGCAAGTGTGTTCTGACAGCTTTGCGACCTCTGCAACAGCATATAGCGGCCGACCATTCGACCGCAGCCAGTGAAGGCGTTTTATTGCGTCGCTTCTCTGGGGCTCGTACCAACGGGTGACCACGAAGACAAATACGGGGCGCCACCTAAATCGTTGTGACATCAAGGTACATTAGAGCGGTACGGTGAACAGACACGTACCAACGACATCCCTGACATCTTACAACGGATTGTAGCACACACGCAGTCGTTCATGATGACAGGTACGCTGTGCACTCGTCGTTCTCCACCCCTCTCGCCCCGTACCGAGTAGCAATAGTCCTTGAATTAGCATGATCCCAGCATGTTGCTCGCAAACGTCTCGTACAAACCTAAATAGGGTGGAACCCTGGGCAGAATAGCAAAAAGCCCAGGCAAACAGGAGGCACTTGCCGATATCCTTTCTCTTTTCAACGTCTATGTTGGCAAACCGTAAATCACATTTGTCGTGGATTCACAAAAACCCGGAACCGAACTACGCGAGATGAGTTGTGGTCAACTGTACACAGGGTATTTGTCGAGAACGGGTTAACTGTTTCATTAACGAGTCGACAACTGTACGATGACTCTCCGAATTAGTGAAGATCTATTACTAAGTCAAGGTCGACGTAAAATTACGGAACTGATAGGACGGAGACAACGTCTTGATGATTTTCGAACAAAAGTGAACACACACACTCTGACAGTAATGACCTCATCGTACTGTAAACGTTAGTTTCCGCGTCTCTCGAGTAAAACAAGTATTGTTTCGCATCTTTAGGTCTGCAGACACCTTGTCAAACTCATTTCATGTCTCGCAGACGTCCTCGACATAAACTACTCAAGCCAAAGTTCAAGTAAAAACAAAGATGTAAGCTAGTCAAGGGAGACTAAGGGTACCGTTCGGAACCTTATCTCCGTTGGTCCTAATTACTTCGTCGCTTACTATATTCTATTGCTCGTCCCTGAAGGAAACAAGTAAACTGAGTAATCTTACCAAAACAAAGAAAAGGGAAATTACAAAGGGTTTAACCCAAGGGGAGGGGGGGGGTACCCTTACGTTTGGTAGAGAAAAGAAAAAAAATTTTAGAGGAAGGGGGGAGGGGAAAAGGGGAACAGGGGGGTTTTCTTTTTTATTTGGGAGGGGTTTTTGGTAAAAAATTGCTAGGGTCTACCCCCGCGACGGTTTCTGGGTCGGAGACCCCCCGACCGGGTCCGGTCTTCTTTTGTTAGGGTCGTTTGGTTATGGGAAAAACTTTTCACCACAATTAACTTACCTGCTAAAACTAGGGCGGGGTTTTTTTTCTTTTTGTTACAAAAAAAAAAAAAAAAAAAACTTCAATTTTAGTTATTGACAAAAAAAAAACCGCGGGGTTTGTATAAGAAAAAAAAAAATGTAATAAAAGGACGTTTAATAAGGGCCCTTTACGGTACCTTTGGTAGGCGACACAAGAAACAGTTTTTCCTTTTTGGGGGAAACGCTACCCGATAGAATAAACCCAGGTCTGGGTTTGGTTTTCTTTGTTGTTAAAGTGACGTGGTGTAACCCACCTTTCCATTTTAAATTCTCATGTTTAAAAAAAAATGGTAAAATGAAGTAGGAAAAGGATTGTAGTGATCTCTTTTATTTTTATAAAAATTTATCAAACACAAAATAAAAAAACATTTAAGTAAAATTTATTATAACAAGATTTCCGATAAGATGGAAAAAGAATTTTTCAAATTGTTTGAATTTCTAAGTCTAAATTATTATAATTACTTGAATAATTTAAATTTTATTTATACTACCAAATAAAATTTAGCTAAATTCAACTTTCGTAAGTTTCAAACCTTTGAACAAGAAAATAAAAAAACGCGTTCTTACCGACAAAGGGGTTGGGTTAGTTACTTTACAAGGAACAAAATCGCTTCTTTAAAAACTTCGTCGGTTTTTCCTTTAGTTCCTTTGTTAACCACTTAGTCTGTTTGAAAGCGTGATAATATGTCTTTCTACTAACCTATTCTTTTGTTTTACCCTTTCATGTGCCAACGATGAATAAATTCCCACACCGGGTTGTATCAGGACGTTCTGCATCTGCCTCCTTACTTGGTCGGCCTGCTCAATTGTCAGCTTCACAAACCTTAATAACACACAACAGGAAAGGGAAACCCCCTAAAAGCATAATGGGGCCAATTTAAAGATTAACTGCAGACATTTATAAAGACATACAAAACTCAAGATGTCTGCGCTCCACTGAAAAGTCAATTATACTAAATGTATGTTACAGTAAGTAGATGTTGCTTGTTTCCACATGATATGTGTGAATGATGCATATTGGCCCATGGCCGGCTTTCATTGTGAGATAAACATTTTTTAAATAAGTTCCTAAAGAAAGATTCATGACATATATGCAGATAAACTTTGCCCTGAAGAAGAAGAAGAAGAAGAAGAAGAAGAAGAAGAAGAAGAAGAAGAAGAAGAAGAAGAAGAAGAAGACATACTTTATTTATCCCTTACAGGAACATTTCTTTCCCCACTCTGTTGTGTTTACACACACTAAGGAGGATATACTGTACATGCACAAACACAGAGGATATACGTACATGCACACACACAACCACTTGCAGATAGGAGAAGTGGCAGAGCAGAGAGGCTGCCAGGCATCCGGCACCAAGGGAGCAGTTTTGAGGTTAGGTGCCTTGCTCAAGGGCACCTCGTCAGTGGCCTTGGAGGTGAACTGGCACCTCTCCAGCTGCCAGTTCACTTTTCTTTTTTTTCTTTTTTGGGCTTTATAAAGAGATACGAGATTGAATCATGAAATTGTCACTTAATAGCAATACTTTCTGTGTGGGAAACTTCTGAAGCAATTGGAGTCAGGACTCAAAGAGAGACATGATGGAGAGCTGGAACTTTGATGGCAAACACTTACGGTTTATTTGGAGCTTCGGCCAGAGGATTCACACGACATGTCACGGGCCACGATCTGACCACACGGTTGAGAAGCCAAATCAATTCTGAAGAACCCTCCTGTAGCTCCAGATTTTAACTAGTTTAGAGTGTAATAATCAACATTCTTCATTAGAGAGACTAAACAGCTGAGGACACTGAATCACATTTGTTGTCGCTTATGGCTCGGGGTCATCTAAACCCCGAGAAGGATGTGCTCCAGGTGTCCCACAACAATAACTATCTCTGACTGAGAGTTGCCCGGTCACAAACTGGTAACAACAACAAAATGCTAGGGCAGCCCCTCCTTAAGGGAGATAGCATGCTGCCCAAGGCTGGGCATCTGCGACAGAGGGCGAAAGATGACATGCAGGGGAAATTGTTCCCTGACACTTTCTCTGTAACTTAAGTTCTTTTTGTCAAGTGACAAATACCATTTTGGAGCAAAACGGCTTCAATGGATCCGTTATCATTGTCTGAGCAGGTGACATGGCCTTTAAAAAGAGCTGCAGGATCAATAAGGTGATGCCAGATGAGGTCAATTGATAAACCAATCAATGCACGGCAGGAGTGAGATTGTGAGCTGGACTTCAAGAGCGTAGGAGGAATAACCTTTCCTACACTGATAAAAACATATTACACTGTGCATTCCCTCCCAAACTAAGTTAGGCACTTACATTTCGCAGGAGCGCGCTATACCTTACCTCTACTTTAAGACATGAGATAGAGACGTTACCATAACATCCGCTGTCTGTTAAACAGCTGCAAAACGCTTGCAGAGCTCCAACCAGTTTATAAAAGTCTGGAGGAAATACACAGCTTTACTGAATAAACCAGCGTCTTCGCTCAAAATGAAGATAAACAAATATATTTAGTTGATTTAAAACTGATTGTTTTGCTTCCCTAAGAAAGAAAAAAGTCATTTTCACTAGGGCTGCACGATATTGGAAAAAACTGACATTGCGATATTTTCTTCCCCTGTGATATATATTGCAATATGAAAAAATACAGGAATTGAAGAAAAGACCGTTTTTTTTGTCCGCAAACCATCCTTTCTTGAACTTCAATGCTATACAATTGGTATTTTTGTAACTATATTTAACCGGATGAAGGATTTTAGTCACGGACGTCTGGATCTTAAGTCATCAGAGCAACAAGCTGAGCTAGCTCGGTTAGCAGCGCCGAACTGCCCTGGAGAAACACATGAAACGACTTTAGTCAGTATTTTTACCTTTAATCACCGGGTCCGTTTGCTTTGGAGATTTGATTGTGATTGGTGGTTTGCTGCGCATGCAGAGCCTGCATGTCACTCACTCAAGTACCCCTGACATGAGAGCTGCGCAAGTTTTCCTTTGGTAGCAAGCAGCAAAATAATTGTAACATGACTGCTCTCATGTCAGGGGTACTTGAGTGAGTGACATGCAGGCTCTGCATGCGNGTTGAGAGCTGTACATACACTAAAGGGGAGTTAGTCAGTTCCGTAGGAGCCAGCATGCGGGACTGGGATTTGTAGTCTTTCTAGTTGCGTATTTTTCATAGTCTTATATTTCAATTTCAGTACCGCTCCCGCTGCTCCGATTCTCCGACCCATCTCACGCTCCATTGTTCCCTCACTCGAGAACAAGACCCCGAGATACTTGAACTCCTTCACTTGGGGTAAGGACTCATTCACACTCAATCTTTTCATCATTTAAAGCGATAAAAACTCTCGATCTTCTCTCGAATTATTTATTTTTTTGGACGCCCTCGGCTCGAGTTCAGGGCGTTCCGAGCTGAATAATGGCGTTAAATGACGGCAAGACGCCCCACTCGCGGAAACGCTGTTCACAATTAATTTCATTTCACTTGGTGTTATTTGTTTTAACCAAGGTAAGCAATAATTAACCCTAAAAAGTACTTAAAAGATATTGTTGGATATATGTTTTTGTTGAAGGTAATAAAAAGGACCCCTAGTAAATGTTTAAATAAAAAGGAATGTGCATGGGTTTTACCCTGTAATGAAACTCACCCCTTCACTATGCGACAGGGATTCTCCCGGTTCCTCTTCCTCCCATTCGTCATCACTGTCCACTTCATAGTCCAACAAACCCTGCAGAGACAGAACACACCGATCATCATCAAAGCAATTCTAATTGTAGTCGACATTTTGGGGGGAAAAGGCTAAAATCTATAAAATGATGGAAAACAATAGGTATGTATTGTGGTTTTCAGTTAATAGTCTTTTTCCTTACATTTACCCAATATCCCCCAGAAATAATAAAGTATTATGATTTTAAATTGTATTCAGATGTAATGTCATTGATCTACCCTAAAAAGGTAAGTTATGTTTATTACACATGGGATCTCTTAATTGTGGTGTTAACAAAAACCGAACAGTTTTTGCCAAATAATTGTACCTTGTCTTGTCTAAGGGGGCAGCGAGGCGAGATGTTTTCACTCTTTTTACTCCAGGTGCCCCAGTACGCTGGACGGTGGTTTGCATGGAACTGCAGCAGCTTCATGGGTCCATAACGGTCACGATCTGGCACACCATCTGGTTTAGTCTCTTCAACTGGTAAACAATCGCTGAGGAATCAGAAGACATGAGGGGAAGATTGTTAACCATAAAGCTTCAGGAAGGCAATGCATGAACCAGGGCGCACAAATGTAACATTTATCCAACAACCATGAATTATTTTGTACTACTATGTCCTTTCCTTTCTTGTAGTGTCTTATATAGGTTTTCAGACATGTGAATGGTCTTCAAATGTTATAATCCCAAAGCACAGGCCGTGTGAGAAAAAATAAAATGCTTTTCCAACATTAAAGCATAAACTAGCACAAAATAAAAATATGAACCTGAACAAATGCATAACAACCAGTGGCGGCGGCAGAGTATTTTTGTTGGGTAATCTATGGTAGGGCTAACCCATACAGTGGTGGGGCTCAAATCAGTATTTGCAATGTAATTACATACACGCTATATCGCCCCCCCTTGACAGATTAACGCCACGCGTGAGGTTTGGATTATTTCCCTGTCTCAATCAAAATTGAACTGTATGAAATAAAACGGCAAATTTGTCTTGTAGTAAATAAAAAGGGATCACTGTGAACGTGACCTATGGTAGTACACGTTGAAGATCCAATGGGGTTACTGAATGGCGGTTCCGACAGATCTCAATCAGTAATGCATGACGCAGACCCAACGTTTCGTTGCTGATTGGCTGTAGGTCTATTCAAATTGCATTAGGAGGCATTTTGATCTGACCGCGGCCGCGCTGATATTATAACGTGAGAGAATTTCCACACCTTTAGTGTATAAAACTCCCCCACTACTTAGACTATTCCTTGCACCCCTCTTCTAGCATAAACCCGAATGGTCTCAACCATATTGCATCAGTAACGTGCACTTGTTGTTACAGCAGGATCAGTTTGTGTGTTGTGGATACGACCGGTATATTTTCGCAATCCGTGTTCTCAACATGCTACTTTAACATAATTTTTCATGGTGGCCATCTCTTGGTATGGCTGTAGCCTACCCCAGCGCCGCCACCGATAACAACTTAAGATTGTAATTTTAATTTAAAGGGGACCTATCATGCAAAAAGCACTTTTTGATGTCTTTTATGCATAAATGTGTGTTCCCGGTGTGTCAGGGAACTCACGCAGCGTCAGAAAATATACCCTCTCTCTTTTCCTCCGTACCCCAATCTCTAAAAACGGGGCTACAACGGAGCTGATCCAGATTTGCGTCCGATATCAGAAACGTTGCTATCAGAAACAATGCCCGACTGTTTTGGACGTAATATGGTCGGTGCATGTTTACATTAGCATCGCTAACACTCAGAGCTAACCTGTACTGCACAGAGCATGTGTGTGAAGAAGCAGGAAATAAAAAGGAACTCACCTTGTCCTATAACCGGCAAGAGAGAAAGCCTTTGAGCTCCATACTGTTTCAGAAATAACCCTTACCCCAAATCAGCACTTTTGAAACAGGAAGTGAAATAGAGGGATATGAGGCATGGCTAGAATGGGTGATCTGTTTGGTATTTTGAGCAAAACACTTCAAAGACATGTTTTCTATATATATATTATTTTTTTAATCAGAGACCTATGCTATTTCCTAGAAATAGCATGATGGGTGACCTTTAACCCATACTGGTATTTTATAGTGATTATAAATCTAACATGTGTCAACACAAAACCAAAGAATGACAGAAGTATCTGCAATAAATGTAGAGGTGGCTGGACATGAGGCGAACTGTTGATAAACAGTGCACAAACATGGATAACCACTGTTCTGTTCCCAGTCTCACCTTAGTGGCTTTCTAGGTTTGGTGGGTCCTGAGCTGCGGGGCCCGTCCCTGATCCAGTCTTTCAGTCCATTCAGGTTATCAGCAGGTTTCAACAAACACCGGTCCAGTTCCTCCAGAACAGACTCCTCACACTGAACCCGGCAAAGCGGTGCCAGAGCCATGTGTTCTTTAATCTCAAATGGAGCAAACTTCCCACACGTAGCTGCAAGTGTCTAAAATAGCAGAGATGCAGTTTGATTACTTGTGTTTGTTCAAGCGGTGTACCATCTTAGTTAAACAGGGGTATATACAGTGGGGCAAAAAAAGTATTTAGTCAGCCACCAATTGTGCAAGTTCTCCCACTTAAAAAGGTGAGAGGCCTGTAATTTGAGAGACAAAATGAGAAAAAAGAAAATCCAGAAAATCACATTGTCTGATTTTTAAAGAATTTATTTGCAAATTATGGTGGAAAATAAGTATTTGGTCAATAAAAAAGTTCATCTCAATACTTTGTTATATACCCTTTGTTGGCAATGACAGAGGTCAAACGTTTTCTGTAAGTCTTCACAAGGTTTTCACNCGGAGAATCGGAGCAGCGGGAGCGGTACTGGGGTCGCTTTACCACACCGTTGTGACGAAAAGGGAGCTGAGCCAGAAGGCAAAGCTCTCTGTCTACCGGGCCATTTTCGTTCCTACCCTCACCTATGGTCATGAAGGATGGACGATAAGCGGGAGAAGATGGATGGATGATGAAAAGGACAAGGACATCCCTCTGTTGGAGGGGCAAAGGAGTCTGGTGGGATNGCAAGTTTTCCTTTGGTAGCAAGCAGCAAAATAATTGTAACATGACTACCGTACTTAATATCGCAAGTCCTGCTTCTTCTTTTCTTTTTTCAGTGACACGCCCCCGCGATGTGAATATCGCGCATGCGCATATCGCGATTATCGTCACGACACGATATATTGTGCAGCCCTACTATCAGTACATCATTTGAAATTATAACGAGCCTTAATGGCCAGTTTATTTAAAACAGTTGGTTAAACCTTGGCCATTACATTTTGGTTGAAATTGTGAACCTATATAAATATGTATGTTTCTTCAGAAGCAATCAAAATGTGTTCCTGTAGAATGTTGTATACCTTTACAGGTTTTAACAGTACATATCTTTCTGAGCTAATGACACATTCTAAAGATCTCTAATGCTCTCTTCTCCCTCAGTACTCAGTCGGCTGCTGCCTCTGCTGCACGGCAACACCAACAGCAGCAAGGTGATCATCAGTGAGTTCCAGGAGTTTTGTCGCCAGCCGACCACCTCCTCATCTTCATCGCCCCCCGAACTGTCCAGCCCTCAGAGTCAGGCAGAAAACATCCCCACCAGGTAAAACAACTATATTACGTGATAACGCGGGGTTACTGCGGAGCGCGTGAAGCAGACCCTTCACGCGATAGCGGAGCGAAACAGGTAAAGGAGGGGTCGTTGTCCACTAGTTCATCGATCGCGGATGGCGTCGTGCTCGAGGACGGATGTATGTATATGTAAACCTAAATGGGTCTCGAAATATACTTTGGCGGACGTTAATATACCTGTAAAGTCTATGTCTGGGAAACCCTGGTACATATATGTTTATTTACATTATATTAATTCTAGTGTCAAAGATGTAAAGAATCTTCTTTCTGAAGCTTAAGGTAGCACGTTGTCCACTTGTATACTATTTTCATTATAATTCTGAATTCTTCTGAACATTTCCAATGGGTACCAAACGGCATGTACATCATTAAGTTTTTGAAGAGGTGTACTGATACGCTATTTCAGGGGCGGACTGGGACTAAAAATAAGCCCGGGACTCTCGACCGGCCCACTTCAGTACTGCTAGTAAATACCGCTAGTAAATTGTCAAAGGGGGGGGGGGGGCTACAAAATGGTGCGTTTTACATTTTAAGAGCTGATACTATTTTTCTTTTAAAAGACAGTAAAGTATTTTGCTATTCATTTAAAAAGCTACAACAAACACTGCATCTCATTTGAAAATACATCTTTCACCTTTATATCTAATGAGCTTTCTTTCCCTCTTTCATCAGAATACAGGTGAAGCGCCTGATGAAGAGCAACGCTGCTTATGAGAAGCGCTCCACCTACAGACGCTGCTGGTACGTCCAGGCGGAGGTTCTGACCCGCTTCGGTCAGGACGCTCTTCCTGTGCCCTGCCAATGGACCTACCTCACCACAGGGGCTCGAGAAGAGTCCCGTGAAGAACCACAGGCTGCCACCGGCTCTCAGGGAAACTCCCCCACAACCCCACAGAACTCCTCGTCCACATCGTCATCCTCCAACAAAAGGAAAAGCACAGGCAGCATGTCAATCACCAAGTTCATGAAGAAATGTGCTGACCCAGAGCAGGTAGAGAAACGCTCTCAAATAGATGTTTAACTGCAGCATTTCATTGAATCCTCTTTAAGATCATCAACTCAAATACATGCTTATCCCACCCTGAGGGTATCCCACCAGTGTCTCAAGTGTTCTTGTATCATTGGGATTTCAGGCAATAGAGGCAGATGGTTTTCAAGCTGACACTGAGGAAGATGACGAAGAAGATTGTGTCATTGTGTCCACAAAGACTGGTGAGTTACACAGAACCAATATTAAACTGTTATTGGGAACTGTAGTTGTTTACTATAAGTTTCAGATTTAATTTAAAGTGCACCTATCATGCTATTTTTAGGCAATAGCATAGGTCTCAGATATATAAAAAACACGTCTATGAAGTGTTTTGCTCAAAATACCAAACAGATCTCCCATTCTAGCCATGCCTCATATCCCTCTATTTCACTTCCTGTTTCAAAAGTGCTGATTTTGGGTCATGGCTAGAATGGGAGATCTGTTTGGTATTTTGAGCAAAACACTTCATANTGTGTGCCTTGGCAGTCTCAGTTCTTATATCCGTTAGCGCAGCTAGCACCAGATTCTAATAACAACAGCGCCGGTACCGGTGCGCCCTCTCCCTTGCTCGTTCTCTCGCTACCACGCTCGCACTTTGGCTGTGAGCTGCGGGCGCCTGATAAGCCAACATCCCCCACTTTCATCACTTACAGCGCCCACCGTACAGGGCAAATTAAACGTGTAACCGGGGTGAAAAGGGTGTTACATTTACTTAATTATGAATGTTGTTACATCAAGGCCGAACATTTGGATGAGCGCCAACGGTCAAAAATGTTTTTTCACTCACAGAGCTACCAGCGCAGCGCCCCCCAGATCTGGCGCCCTAGGCGACCGCCTGTGTCGCTTATGCCAGAAATGGGCCCTGCCTAGTACATACAGTGGCAATGTCTCAAGATTTAGCAAAAATACACCTTTATTGAACATACAGTAACACAAATACTATAAATCCACATAACAAACAATGAAAAATGAAAAAGGGTCACCACTAATTATTATTTTAAGAAAAAATAAATAAAATATATATATTTTTTTTTGGTACCTGGCTGGCGCCCCCTAGCAGCGGCGCTCATATTTCAGCAGCGGCGCTGCACCGCCACTATTTGTATATAGGGGAAACACTGCCTTATCTTAGTCAACAGAAGAAGTAAATGTCATGCCAGTCAGTTATAACATGTTCTGTTTTGTGCCGTTCCCTGAGTACAGAGGAGGACGAGGAGTTCCTGGTGTTACTGGAGTACAGCCCTGACGCCCTGGAGTTGATGCAGGAGAGGAGGGACCGTCTCCAGAGAGGAGAGCCAGTGAGAGCTCAGCTGGAGAGACAGCCGCAAGTGTTCAGATCGTCTCCCAACGCTCAGCGCTTCGAGCTGCCGCCGGAGTTCTACAACATGACATCGGAGGAGCTCAAGAAGGAGCAGCTGCAGAGGTACAGACTCCTATTGAATGGTTTGAACAGCAGAAGTTATAAGAACTACATTTATACATGAATTATGTCGTTTTTCTGATCCGCTTTTGGTTTGTATTGTACACCTCTAATTGTCCAGAAAACAAACTGAATTTTTTCTCTGATTATGGTAGTAATGACAGGAATGTAAAGGAAATATAATATAAATATATATAAAATATATCCTATCGGATTACCACTATATCAGATTATGCAACCCTGATTCATTCACAAGCCAGGCTGTTGCAAAACAACCACATAATTGCCTGCACATCAAGCTGGATGGTTAAAGATTGTTTTCTGCTCAGATTCCCAGTCATAAGGGGGGGGGGGATTAAACGGGGACATCTTCTAGAAGCATAAAATAGAGGTTGGTTTTATGGCTGAGAGAACAAAACAACAGAAAAAGAGCACACGTAATTGACCATGATTGCAAACATCCTCAAAACAAATGCATAAATAATGTATAAAAACTCTTCAGTTGTTATCCCTGTTATATGTGCTACCTCAGTCTAGCCACGGAAATAACAAATGTGCCATATGCACAACCACCCAGATTGTTGTCTGGTGGTATTTGTCCATCATTCATTGGAACAACCTGCACTCTACAACATGTGTGTTTTGTGTGTGTTTCCTAGGAGTGAGCTGGTGGAGAAGAACGCCATGCTGCGCACTAAAGCCATGAGGGAGAAGGAGGAGCAGAGGGAGAGAAGGAAATACAACTACACTCTGCTCCGGACCCGACTGCCTGATGGATCCCTGCTTCAGGGTAAGAGCTTATCTTTCCTTGTTTTCCGAATCAGAACAAAACCAAATAAAAGTGTTGAAAGCCCTGATGTAAATGTAAACGAGGCATTGAAGATGAAGTGTGATTGCAGGGACCTTCTATGCATGGGACCGGTTGCCCGTGCTGTTTGCCTTCATCCGGGAGTCTTTGGTGGACGGCTGGCAGCCCTTTGAGCTCATCGCTCCTGGAGGTCAGAAACTACAGGAGTCTGAAGAGGTGGCTCTCGCAGAGTGTAACCTGGTGAGTGGAAACCAGAGTCTTCTTATTGAACTGCCTAACATGAAATGTCCCTAGATTTAAAGATAAGGCTGTGACATTGAAATCCTTTTTTTTTTTTTTTACAGTAAACAACCCTAATGATGAATTGAGTTTACCAACTATTGATATCACATGTTTCTCTGTGGCATGGATCTCCAGTGTTGTCCAAAACTATACAAATAATAATAGACAACCTACTTTATTGCATTGAATAACATTTTCCTTCATTCATTGTAGCTACACCTGAGAACCAAATGTTTATTCATTCATTTTTATTATTTTATTTTATGAAAGTGAATTTGAGACCAGTTCTTTTTCTAAATGTCTTTGGAAGGAGCAAATTAGGTTGGTGCAACAGATCAAGTAAAAAATAAAAATATTCCATTCTAATCTACCTCGACCTAATAACTCATGCCAAGCATTATGTCATTGTCTATACTCGAGCAGCGGTTCCCAACCTTTTTCAACTAAAACCTTAATTATGAAAATGTTTCCACACAAATCATGTTTGGCAAATTATTTGGCAGCCCACTTGCAATGACAAGGGGGCCGCAGCCCACAGGTTGGGAACCACTGCACTATAGTATTGAAACATTCATTTAAATGTAATTGAAATGAATATACATTTGAATTATAGTCCTAATACAAACCATGGTGTCCTCTTCACACAAGCCAGTATTTGAACACTCCTGCAGATCAAATCAGACTGTGTGTGTCTGCATGTTTCAGGTCCCTGCAGCTCTGCTCACGTTTGCCTGGGATGCGGCCGTTCAGGCGGATATTGCAGCTGCGGGTGGGAAGAGCCCCGCTCTACTCAAACCCTCCCTGCTGGAAACCATCCGGACCCTGAGCTGAGCAGACACCCTCCCCCTGATCTCTCCCTGCTGCCTCCCCCCTGTGGCCCTCCTGGGGTGGAATTGCCCATTTACAAACGACTAGTGATACGTTTATTTTTACAAATGCTAACTTTAAAGTCGGTAGCAGTGATAAAATAGGGGCAACTTCCCCTAAATGCGCTTGTTTTGCTGAGCATTATCCCTCCATGTGGGGATAGGATCCCCTCTCAGCTACACGTTGTACTGAAGGAAGCAGTTACTAACAGATGAAAGCATTGGTTTTGTTGCATCGTGAATGTACAGGCTGTGTAGGAAACAGAGGAAGATCTAACATCACCAGTCAGTCAGCTGTTCTTCGTGTGGCATGTTGACAGACCTTGTTTTAACTGTGGTGACATTTTCTCCCCTTGCTTTGAAGTTAAACTGTTGTATTAACACGATGACTGATCAAGAGAAAAAAGTAGTGCAGCCAATTGATTCTGGTTATAGATTCTGTTGTGAACTATTTTGTATCTCAGTACAGAGCTTTTGGTGTCTGTGCACTGGCCTCCACTTGAATGCTCTTAGTTTTGTTTGGCGGTGCTCCAGTTTCAACAGTGTTCTGACGGTCCGGTCTGATGCAAGTCTAGCTTGTCCGTTCGTCCTCTGCAGTGTGGCCTCACACTCTCGTTGTACAACATACTTCTACGTTAGTAACTAAAACTCCAAATGTTATTTATTTGTATTCATATGAGCATAAACCTAGACCCTAATCGAACATGTCTTTCTTGATCATTTGATTTAAAATTGAAGTCCAAAACGGAGACGTCTTTTTACAGACTAGAATGGCACCTCCGCCAAATACATTTTTTTATCCGCCTCTTGATTTGGATCCACTCCAAAATGTAATGTGTTCTTCCTTAGCCCGTGCTTCACCCTTCCACCAAGTTTTTCTGTAATCCTGCTGACAGAACGAACAGACGCTGTTACTCAAGGGTTAAGATGACAATGTGAAGTTGATTCTAATACCAATATAATTTCTTGTATTTTTAGCACTTTTTAGGAAAAACCTTACACTTTATAAAACACTAAAGAGTGCCCTAAATGTAAAAAATAAAGCTTGATATGGTAATTGCAGAGGGGCTCACTGCAGAGGTTTCATGTAGCTTACTTACTTGGCATGCTGGCTGGCGTAAACTACATTTCTGTTGTCATAACTTGTGTTGTCGTAAGTCATGTATTTGTTTGTATCAAACACATTTCCTTGGTATAAAAAAGGTATTTCAAACGGGGTGGTAGTACGTGAACATGCAGTTCATCTACCATCCCACTGAGATGAGAATTCAAAGCAGTTTCAATTCACCCTTATCACATCATTAGGGTGATTTATACATTTATTCTGGTAGTGGTTTTGCCGTTGATGTATGCACACCAGATATATATGGAAAAGCTAGTTATAATTGCTTGTGATTGGTTAACGACCTACCTCTCACTGCTTATATCTGTCTGATACATCCAAAGGGGGTTGTACACTGAAGTGGAAGAAAGGCCTGGATTGTTTTTCAGAAGAAATAATTGTCACCTCATAAAACCTGTAATATTATTAATTGAGCAACTAAAACCTGTTTCAGCTGCTGTTATGTGTACAATTTGACTACACAACCCCAGCGTTTGAGGACTAAGATGGACGTCAGCAACATGTCTGCGGTCTTTTATTTAATGGAGGCGTCTAAATGTTTGATCTGCATTGTAACCTTCATAGATCCCGAGTGAGCAGTAGTGATGTGTGCAGACAGTCTGAGTTGTAATCTGTTGCTTTTCAACCTGCCTGTAAAAGAGATCGCTTGCATTGCCTCATAACTTTTGTTTAATAAACAGTTCTGAGGCGAGTCTGTTTAACTTCAACATGTTCCTAACGGGGAGCTACTTTAAAACACATACAAGAACCATATGCTGAGTTTCCTGGAAAGCTCTTTGGATGGAAATGTTTAGTATTTTGAGTATTCCTCTGAAAATGATCACAGCTTACACCATGACATTCAGGGTTGAGCTTCTACTGTAATGTCTGAGACTAAACTAGAGCTTTATACAGCTTTACTGTTTGTTATTACTCCACACAGCAAGTACACACCATTTCCCCCACGAATGCTAAGTGGTGGCAGCCTCATGTGTGAAAGCTGGTTTTGCCTCACCTCCTGTAGTCTGCAGAGGAACTGGGACTTAACATTAACAGAAATCCAGCAATACATTAGTATTACAGCTAACGGTTCATATTGTTGGTCCCTGAGCAATTGAGCCTTTCTTTCAAGAGAAGAACACATATCTACATTCATTAGAACTTAATGACAATTTGCAAACATTGGGCAGAGCAGTGTTTGCAAATTTAACTTCACTGACAAAGATGCCTCTACCAAATAGTGACTTTCCAGGTTGGAAATGTGTTGTTTCCAAAGACTTGTTGTTGAGCAGTTTTACGCACTGCTGCACAACTCGTTTTTATGATCTAAAAGCCAATGCATTTGGCATTTATTTTGAAACAGTTGAGTTTTCCCCCTAAAATGTAGACCAAACGGAAAAAAATACCCTAGTATTGATTGTACAGAAATAAATTCAATTTTTTTCTTTAAACTTGCACTTAAAAAGGTTAACATGAAACCGAATCAATATTAAGTAAACGCTAAGTGAGTTAGTTACTGGTCGCATCAAGAAGTGGCATTGAATTAATGGAATATAAAAGTGCAGTACTTTTATTCATGTTTAATGAACTTATCCTGTTCAAGTATTCTTGGAAAAAAACACAGAAAATACATATTTATAAAACATTGTGACACTGGACCTAACAGTACAAATACAGATCTAGCAACTACTCCAGAGAGTTGTCAGAGTTAGAAATTGCAGAATAAATGCACCAATTGAAATTGAAGGGAAATGTACAGATTGAACTTCAGCCTCTCATTTCCCAATCCTTATTTATGGTAAACTATATATATATGTACACATTTAGACTAGAAGATATCAGATAACGTTAATTCAACATTTCAGGAACCGTAAAGAATGTTGTTTTTGATTTCTTAGATTCTTCCTCATGAACATTGGGCATTTCTGTTCTGCTCTTCCTCCCTCTGCTCAACAACCTGTTGTTGCTAACGCGAGATGCTAAGAGTCTCCAAAGAGGCCAAAGCCAAAACATGCAGGACTGAAACATCCATGCAAAAATCAATCAGACACACTCAAGGAACATTGGACAAACTGCCCTCAATAATCAAGTCAGAAACTTCTGATGTTATGCACAACTACATCTTACAGGCGAGACCACTCCCGACTCACAGAAAAAACAAGGTGAAAGGAATTCATAATATTGAGCAGAAGCCAGCTGAGCGGGTTGCCTGCACCAAAGTGTGCTGCTTCATGTTGCTTGAAGACTTGATTCTGTCTTGGACACAGAAGCGTTCAGAACCAGGAAGGAGACATTAATCAGGGAGGGACCGTTGTTGACGGAGCCGCCTCCTGTCCTCAGGCCGTGGAGAGGGTTGGAGCCGCGCTGGACACCGGGAGGGCCGCTGTGTTGGAGGGAGTGACCTCTATCACACAGTCTCCCTCATTGGAGGACTTTCTGGTCGGGGCTATAGAGAGATAAATATAATGAGATTTCCTTTCTATGATAAATAACATGTACGCATCCATTTAAAGCTGAAGAATGAAACTAACATTAATTGCGAGTGGCGACAGCAATGCTGTATTGTTCTTCACTTTGTAACTATTCACCAACTGTAGTGAGAACCACAGAAGAAGTTTTGAATACGATGAAGTGTTTATCTTTGAGTCAGGAAAGATTTTGTCGACGTGATAGTCGCAACACTGCAAGATGCAAAAACGAAACTTTACAGGGGTGTGTTCATGATACTAACTGAGTTGACAAGTATTTTTCATTCCATCGACTAAATGTTGCAAATCTAATCAAAAGTTTGCGGGCATTTGCAAATGAATGAAGAAGGTGCCTAAAATACGCAGTGAACCTCACATGTGTGAGAAGCAGGAAATAAAAAAGGAACTCACCTTGTAACCGGCAAGAGAGAAAGCCTTTGAGCTCCATACTGTTTCAGAGATAATCCTTGATAATCCATGATATGGCGTTTCATCACGGCAGTATTTAGTTTAGACAGTATAGCTGCCGGGTCCCGCATGAGCTCAGACCCCTCCTTTCTTTTATTTTATCAATTTTTTAAAGCTTTATACCCAAATCAGCACTTTTGAAACAGGAAGTGAAATAGAGGGATATGAGGCATGGCTAGAATGGGTGATCTGTTTGGTATTTTTGAGCAAAACACTTCATAGACATGTTTTTTATATATCTGAGACCTTTGCTATTGCCTAAAAATAGCATGATAGGTGCACTTTAAATTAAGACGGCAGAAAAATTATTATATTTAGACTTTTTTTTATTCAAACATGAACACATTTAACAACATTGCGTGGTCATTTTTAACTGTTTTCAATGTTGATCAATGAGTGCCGTGCAATACTTCTACTTGTATCTTTGGTGTGTGTGTGTGTGTGTGTATACCACACCA